GATAAATGTCTATCAGGGATGGTCTAGACAGAATTTGGTCCTGCCACGCGGGCAGGGGACTGGACTCGATGACCTCTCGAGGTCCCTTCCAATCCTAGAGTCTATGAATCTATGAAAGGCAGCATCGTAACACCTGTCGATTAAGTAGACACTGACCCATGATTGGACCTTCCCTCTTATCCCATGACAGCATTTCTGAAAGTTGGCTGGACTCTGCATTCATTTCGTCTCTGCTGGGGGCTTGTTCCCAGGTGGATCCCCTCGGCTGAGAGCGCTCTCCCGGGCCTCATCTGGGGCTTTGCCCTGTCCCACAGGAGCCGGGCTTACCCAGCGGTTTGTAGGCAGAGACGCAAGCTGTAATGCAGGTGGGATCTGATCCACTCCCTCTGAGTCAGCGCTGGGCCCTGTGTGGTGTTGTGGGGCCCGGTCCTGTGCCTGGAGCTGCTTTGTCAACCAGCCAGCAGCAGCTGAGTCCACTGGAATAAATCAGGACTTAGTTGCTTCCAACCCCTGGCCCAGAGGGACATGCCTGGAGCACTGGGTCCAGCGGCCTCCCCTCTGCAGGAGCTCGCAAGGGTGGATTTTGGAAAGCCCCAGTATCCAGGGTTCCTGTCCAAAGCTCCCCATGCCAGCTAGTAGCAAGAGCAGGGGGAGGTAGGTCAGTCCCTCCTCGCTGGACCCAGATGGACCTTGGCAGGCTCCTGACGCCATCAGTCATTCAGCTCTGACCCCCGGACACTGGATATTTGCTCTATTCTCACTTGCTCTATTGCCGTTGGCCCCCTCCCCTATGCACACCGTCCCTGAGACAACCACCTCCAATTGCCCCCTGCCCACCCCACCCCTTTTGCCTTTCGACTCCCCTGGCCTTCAGTTTATCTCCCGTCCCCTTGCTACCAGAATCCCCTCCCCCACTTCAGTCCCAATGAGTGGTCCACTTAAATCCTAAGACTGTAACGCTCACACAACCCCCCATACATAGGCTGAGAGGGGTGGGAGCCTCCAGCACAACAGAGGAGAATCTACATGCTAAAGGCCCGATTGTGAGTGGGTCCAGCATGGCTGTGGCGGGGAGGCACAGGCGCCGAGCCCCCGAACAGTGGGATGGAAGCAGGCGCTGTGCAGCCATGACCCCCCTCGCGAGTGAGCAGGCAGAACGGGGGAAGGGGGCAGTGGAGCTGAGACGGGGTAAGTGGGAAAGTCAAGAGGATCCTATAATGCGCTACCGTCCATCAGTGCCTGCCGGGGAGCAGGGCAGGAATGGTGCCGGGATTCCTGTCTGGGGGCTGGGCAGTTCTACACCATTCAGGGCCGTGTCCTGCTGCTCAATCAGCCCCGAACAGCGACACACAGAGAGACACATGCTAAGAGGATAAACGGACGGGCGGCACCTTAGAAGGTGACTGTAACGGACAGGATGGGGCTACACTAGCCCCCCAACGCACACCCCACCAAGAGCCCTTTCTCCTGTGTCAGCCAGCACAGCGGGACTCGGCCTTTCTGGTTTTTGAACATCGTTTCTATTGTCAGGCATGTCGGTAATACGGATGAAAGAGGAACCCCTCCAGGCTGGGGCAGCTAAGCACTTTGAGCTGAGGCTCTGGGCCGCTTCGGCTCCATTTGTCTCTGCAGAAAGGTTTCCAGAGCAGTTGATAATGTCCTGAGCTCCCCGTGAAGGGACCCACGGAAAACGACCGCATCCCTCCCCTCCACGATGCAATGCTGGAATTGTCTGACAATCGTAGAATCATAGACCCTCCGGGTGAGAAGGGACCGGAAGGGTCAGCTGGTCTAGCCCCCTGCCAAGATGCAGGGTTCGTTGTGTCTAAACCATCCAGGACAGATGGTTCCAGCCTCCTTTGGAAAACCTCCAGTGAAGGAGCTTCCACGACCTCCCGAGGCGTCTGCTCCATTGTCCTCCTGTTCTTACAGGGAGGAAGTTTTTCCTGAGATTTAATCCAAAGCTGCTCTGCTGTAGTTTGATCCCACTGTTTCCTGTCCTGCACTCTGTGCCAAGAGAGAACAACTTTTCCCCATCTTTTTTATGGCAGCTTTTCAAGTATCTGAAGACCCCTATCATGTCCTAAGTTCCCTCTAAGCCACCTATTAAGCCCCCGCAGGGGCTCAGGGCTGAGTCAGGGAAAGGCGTCCCTCCCCACCAGCCCCAGCGTCGACCTGCCCCATCTGGGGGAGAGGAGCCCCTCCCCCTGCCCCAACCTGCTACTGTGAGAGAGGGCTGAAGGGAGTATTCTCTCTCCACCGCAGCACCGGGGCAGCCTGCACCCCCAAACCCCTCATCCCCAGCCCCGCCCCAGAGCCTGCACCCGTAGCCAGAGCCTTCTCCCTTAACCGGAGCCCTCACCCCCTACACCCAACCCTCTGCCCCAGCCCTGGGCCCCCTCCCTCACCCCAAATCCCTCTGCCCCATCCCAACCCCAGAGCCAGCATCCCCAGCGAGAGCCCTCATTCCCCCACTCCCTAACCCTCTGCCCCAGCCCTCTGCTCCAGCCCTGAGCCCCCTCCCACACTCTGAACCCCCTCAGCCCCACCCCCACCACATCACCTCCATATTGGTGCACAGAACAAAATTCATTCCGCTCATGGACGTAAAAAATTAGAGGGAACGCTGGTCCTGTCCCCTCTTAAGCTCCTCTTTCCAAACTAAACGTACACAGTTCCTTTGGCCTTTCTCATATAGTTTGTATTCCATCCCTTTGGTCATCTTTGTTGCTCACCTCTGGATCCTTTCCAGTTTCTCTACATCCTTTCTAAACATTGATGACCAGAACGGGACACAGTACTCCAGTTGAGGCCTAGCCAAC